AGAATGGTTGAAGTTGACCCCGTGTAGTGTGTGCTCTGTTGATGTGGATCTTAAATGTGATTGCAGGTATGTTCTGTAAATTGAAATTCAAACTTGGGTTTGCGTATGATTATATATATATATATATATATTTGAAGGAAGCCACATCGTGATTGTGAGAGTGATCGTCTCCCTTCTCATAATTTTGTATCATGTTTCTTGTGCCCGCATGAGTCACGACTCGTTGAGGCCGTGCGTAGTGATTGAATAAGTTCTGCATCGAGAGAAAAGGGAAATCTCTTTTTAGCTTTTGTTTTTTAGAACTAGTATGGTTGGACATTGCATTCCGTGGCAACCGTCAAAGTAAAACCCTTGATCTCTGGCCTCCCCGACAGCTTGGACCTCTCTACTCAACCCCTCTGCACAGGGTGCAGAAGAGGGTGTGGTCTTCAACCGCGCATGGCGGTTGTTCAGCGTCGAGAGATTAACCCTCAACGCTCGTGTGAGCTGATACTTGAGTGTAAAACGCGACCCTCGAGATTAACGAGGATCGCATGAGTATGAGTACTATATGGTACGCCATCATTGCAATTCTTTCGTACACTTGCATTGCGAGTCGATATGAGTTGACCCTGCGTCTCCGTGATTTTATAATAAGTCTTACTCGCGACGCCTAACCGAATTCTCGCTGCAAGAGGTTATGAGTCGGATACTGAAGGGGCTAAGAGTGTTGTTGTGTTGTTTGTGGTTGCGTTGTTGTGTCATTTGTGTTTTGTATGTGTGTGAGTGTCGTGGTGTAACGCGTGGTGTATGTGATGCGTCCTAGTCGACCGGCGCCGAGTCGCGTTTGGGACCTACGCCCCCTAGTGCGTCGATTGTGTGCGGGTTCAATTATGGGCGTTGACCGCGCGTACCCCTTCTGCTACAGCAAGCGAGAAAACGCCCTCGGCTGGGACACCTCTGCAATTGCATACGAAAAACCTTCGCATGTGGTTCAGTAGCTCGGCGGGGATACGCCCACCTAAAAGGGTCATTCACACAGCCCAACAAACATCAATAAAACATAGCACTGAGCCCACATCCACCCGGAGGGGCTCAGCCTTGGGTTGACCCGGTCAAAACGCATGCAAAACTCCTTTCTCCCACCTTCCCCCAATTCACTTTGTCTGAATTCTCTCAAAGGATTATCTGACTCCTCATACATACTTGTTAATTTACCTTTCACAAAGCATGTCCTGACATACATAACAAAAACAAAAAGTACTTGCCTTTCATAGTCGTATTTTCAGATAACCAAAGCAATAATGTAGTTAGGGGAAGGGATCACATGCGTCAGACGAAGTTTATACCTGAAGTTCCCTGCCTCCAGAACCCCGCCTGGCCTCCAGCAAAGCTCCCGCAATTGGTGGGTGGACCTCCCACAAGGTCTTGCTGCGATCCTACGAGTTGCAATCCCGCCTGCCGCCTTCCTCTCGTAACCTTAGACTAGACTTAGAGTAAGAAGGGCAGAAAGACGGGTTTCAAACGCTCGAGATACAAGAGAGGAACAAACTCAACTCTCAGGAGAGGGCCTTGTTATCTTCAACCTCTTGAGGGCCCCGCAATGGTGGCCGTCTGCAGAATTCAGCGTCAAAACCGAAATGTCACAGCAGTCCCCATGCAACAGCCTTGCGTGGAACAATAACAACTCCCTTTGAATGAGTTAGTGGTAACATGTCCTGTGCCGCAGCACCGACCCCGGAAGATGGACAGAATGTCCGAATGAGTAGTCAATAGGCACCAGCTGTATCCAAGATCAACCACACAATCCGAAAGGAAGAAGCCGAGGTGTCCCTCCACAGGCGGTTGCAAAAGCAGATACAACCAATGGCTCGGGTGAATCAGTGACCCGCCGTAATGACATCGGGGTAACAGCAAGAAGTACCATAGGTAAGTGCTCAGTAAAAGCAGTGAGCCAGGCCCTGCAGATCTGTAGAAGTAGCAGGCACTTCAGCAGCCCACAGCCCCTTGCTGACAACACCGGTCCCGTTTACCTGACATGTTAACCAGCCCGAGAACCATACCAACCCTGAACGACCATGCACTACTGCTCGTAAAGTCAAGAATGCTTCTTAAACCACTGGCTCCATAACCCGCAGTAAACACAACAACAATGTAGAAAGTGTGGCGGTTGTTCAGCACTATGGTGCCGCACAACACAACAATTCTGAGAACCTGCTGACCCGTCTTTCAGGATCAATAACAGTTCTTGCTGATGCCAGACCCACAGTGGTACCAACGAAATTGGCACAGCCTGTAGTAACCCACCTTTAGAAATACATAGTGAAGCTATAACGCACCGCGATGCTGACAATCACAGTAAGGCACAGTAAAGTGTACAGTGAATCCCAAACATCAGCAGAACTCATCAGAATACGAAGTGCACGGTGAGGCAGCACTGCACAGCAGCAAGCGCAGCTAAACACGGTGAACGTTATGCAACAGCATGAGGTGGTAGCCAGCTTCGTGCTTCAATAGACGCGGGGGCAGATGCGAGATAAGAAAGGAGTGGTATCTGCAACAATCAGGTAAATGCTACTACTTTCACAACTCTTTCTTTCTACAGTCGGTCCAGTCGGACTTCCTTACAAACACTCCTTCCATCTTATCTATGATTTTCTCACTCTCATACTTCCTTAATGCACCTGGCTCGAAGTTTCGGCCAGGTTCATCCTACCACAGTCCTTCAAGAGTAGGGAAGGTAAAACACCTTCAACTACAGATTTTATGAAAACGACGACGCAAATTATACAAACAACACCGGAATCGTCAAAGTAGTCTCAGTCCGCAGTACTGGGATTGCATAGCAAGTTGATGTACCAGGTTATGGGCCACGCCCCCTCTACCCCCAGAATCGTCAATTTCGGTCCTCCCCCGATGATGAGACAAGCGGCCTTAGCACCGACGAGATCTCGATGTCGAGCACAAGGCTGAAGACAACTGCAGGCAGAATAAAGTTGGATCTCCTGCTACAGCGTGGGGAAAGTGCACATTCACACTAAGAATCCGATCACCCGACAACACTACTTCCTTAAAAAGCACGAGCGCCTCTTGGATGGAGGCAATCAGCCGGTCATGATGTCGATGACGGTGGCCAAGATAGCTAATACGACTGCCACAACAAGTGCGACCAGGATCCCAACGATGCCTGTGAGCAGCAGTGCACGTCGAGGGCTCACCAAATGTGCAAAATGAGAATGAATCCTGCTCGGAATTTGAGCAGATGCGTACCAGGTAAGGGCTGCTTACTTTCTTTCATGGAAACACCCCTCCGCTCCTTTCCTGCTTTCTTACTCCTCCGTTCTCCTATTGCCTTCGATGGCTAAGGACCAGCACAACTACTGTAACCCCATACTACGGCTAGCTACGTACTCCCCCCCTGCCTTTATTACTCCTCTAAAAGTTGTCTTGTCCAGCAATATGCCGCGGCACATCATTCGATAATCGACGAAAGGGTGCTTGCATTCTGTGTGTGTGTGTGTGTGTGTGTGTGTGTGTGTGTGTGTGTGTGTGTGTGTGTGTGTGTGCAACCCCTAATTCATGAATGCACCTGGTCCCTTGTTTGGTCAGATTCGTTCAAAGTAAAAGGAAAAAAAGCTCCGCAAGATGAGAAACACGATTGGGGTCAAGCCAACGAACGAGAAGAAGACTACGATTTGGATGAGTGGAGATCACCGGAATAAAAAACCGTGATCACAGCCCTACCTCATACAACGGTTCACCAAGACAACACCATGATCACGAAGAATACCACCCGATAGTGAAAACGGTGATTCTGACGGCGAAGGCTGCTAGGATGATGATGATGGCCGCAATAATGAGTGAAGGTCTGTGGCTATGATCTTCGCACTGGTACTCACCAAATGGGCAAAATGATAATGAACCTACCCCTATAACAAAAAAAATACATTGAATATTGCCGCTTGTCAAGGTATCAAAATGAGGGTTGAACCTTTCGCTGAAACACGGCTGAATACACCTCGCAACATTTATGATGAAAATGACGACCATGAATAGCAGCAAGATTACGACCATCGTTGCCATGTATTGGTAAGTTCCTCCCTGTCTTGCTATTATTTCCTCCTTACCTTTGCCTCCTTCCTCAATCCCATCTGCATTCTTCCCATCACTCTCCCAACTCTTCTTCATAACAGCCGCGCAAATCATACTGTCGATACTGGTTAGATCGTCCGTCTATCACAAAATCTACCTTTGCCATTAGCTTCGCCCTGCCCAAAAACCTCAGATTCGACTTTTGACTCGCTCGATTCCGTTCAGGAACGAGCGAGCTAAACCATTTCCAACTCTTTTCTTCTCCCTTCTTCTTCATCTCCGTCATCGTCTACATCTTCTCCACTTTCCCCTCCTTTTTCCTTCTCGCTGACCCTACTCCTAACGCAGTCCGTCTGTTTCTGGTTGCTACCGAGGAGAGCGACAACAATTCTCCGTAGAAAAAATGACAGGCGACTCCCCCTCTTTTTTCTACTTTCCTACCCACGTTGCTACAGCTTCACGACACTCTATGCTTCTCCCCATACTAATGAACCTGGACTACCCCTTGGTCCCCAGTCGTGTTAAAGGCTACAAAAAAGAAAAGGTGAATGTCGAGACTGAGGGTATATTCACAGGAGGGTTGTTCTAAACGTATCTGACTGTTATGCTGGCAAAATCCAGATTAATGTGACAACCATCACGTCTATGCTTAGTACGAAAGTTTGCCCACAAAGGGAAAAGGGTCGTGATGCTCTGCTAACCTGTTTCCAGCTGAACTCCAACTCAGGTCTGTATTTCAACAGTTCCGCGTGTGCCAACTGAGTTGGCCCGTTGATACTGTCTACTGCCTTGGGACTGGTATCGTCGCAGCCCACGGCAATGCAAATCTGCAATTTTACACTTTACTCACCTGTTCCTAGCGGGGCTCGAATTTAGGTCCGTATGTCAACCTTTCATGGGTGTACCAACTAGGCTAAACCCATTGGTACCTTTATCAGCCCCGGAACCAGCGCCTCGACCGTGTCCCAACTGGAACAAAAAGGTACATAAAAATACGTAAGAATAAAACAAAAAAATAAAATAAAACAGCAAAATGGGGGGGGGGTTCATGTTACCACAGGTACACAACCTCTGCGCTGGTACCCGCTGGTCCTCGCCCTGCCCAGATATAGTTCACTGTCTTAAGGGTCCCAGTAGGAATGCTCACACTGCGACCCCAAATCTGCAACATATGCAGATTTTGGGACAGCTAGTCCGAGGTTTTGGGCATGGTTCGGGTCACACAGCTGTGCCCCTTTTCAAATGGGACAAGGCCCTGGCCGTCTGCAATAGTGACGATTTAGTATTTTTGCTGGTCGCACGGCGTCATCCACAAATGGTCCAAGAGCTGGTAACCACAAATTCCCTTGTCTCGCGGTCACACAGGCTGGTTACAAAAGGCACATAAATTGTACATTTAGGACTTCAACAATTTTGTATGACCAGTCTCGTGCCTCACGGGCACCGACGGCATTATCATACTCAACACTCTCTCAGCAGATCGCGAGAGGCGGACGACGCACCTGCTGCTGAGGCGTCCCTATCCAACTCCCCATCTGGTAATGTTTTTCGTTTGGATCAAACAGGCGCAAGGGCCTGCCTGCACCCTGAATCCAGAGGCAGGTGCAAGCACCAGCCCTACCTTTCGAAAGTTTAACAGGTTGCAGCATTTCACTCGTGAGGTAAGACTCCCACTCACCTGCCTTTCGTGGAGTTCGAGCTCAGACCTGCATTTCTACAGTTCATGGGTGTACCCACTGAGCTAGGCTCTTGGGGTCCACAGCCAGTCCCGAGATCGGTACCGGACCACGTCCCAAAATGGGACGAAAATAAAAAATAAGAAATAAGAAAAAAAAAAAAAAAAAAAAAAAAAAATTTAGAGATAAAAATTAGGAAAACGGATAGGGGAGGGGAACCGTTGGTACTTGGTCCTCGGTCCTGCCGCGCGGGCCCGCGGTCGGATCATCCAGCAAAACTAAGGGGGATAATCCCACGGGACCCTCGACCCCTCAGTTTAGCTCTGTAGCGCTCCTCCACTTCTCCAATGCTGGCTGTTGGCCTCGATCCCGAGATCCGCATGTTGAAAGTCCAGTGCATTAACCAATAGGGCTAAGCCCAAGTCTGAACTAGTTGTGCGCCGACCTGTATATGAACGGTAGCTGCAGCCAGCCTGGGCCTGCAGACGGTGCACCAAGGCTGCTACTTGGCTTATTGCTTGAGCTCATGGCCCGCGCTGCCGTGCAAGCTGGTCGGAGGGCAAGTCTCTGCTTGACTTGCATTGCATGCAGCCTCGCCATGCCGCGATCAATGGCTAAGGCCCTCCTACTCCGCCACATTCGTAAAAAGGTTGCCCGTTTATTGCCTCTACGTTGAAAAAACCCGTCTTTGCTGATACCGTACCTAGTTTACGCCAGCCTAGCTAAGGTCTGCCCTGCGGCTTCTACTACCGACAATGCAAGGTCAAACCTAGTACTTGCGCACTCCACATAATGCGACCCCAGAATGTCGTCTTTCAGTGAGTCAAACAAAAATTTTCCTCTAGCCGTAGCCTCAATGATTAAACTCTGCGCTGGTTGCGACTTCATCAGTGTGTCCGAGGTTGCGGCTTACGCAGCGTTTATTCAAAATTCTAGCCTATTTCTAGTTTGCACTGCCCGAGCGACCCATTGTTTACTCTAATCAAAATTATCTAACTAACGTGTGCCCACTAAGTGCACGCCCACACACTCTTTGAATTCATCATGCGTGCGCCCGCCACTTTTGACTTATGAGTCAATCGTGGTTGAGCGAAAGGCACGCCACTTCCTAAAAAATCATCAAGAGTGTTCCTCCTGCGAGGTGCAAAAATACGCACAACTACCTTTGTAAGGGTATTGGTGCGGACAGTTTTTCCGGACCCTATTAAGCGACGTCCCCGTCGCGTCGGACAATCAAAAGCTATAAGCAATCAAAATCCCAACTGCTGATGAGGAATTAACCAATCCGATTAGCCGGCTCGACTCCGTTTGAGGTATTCTTATCAATCTGCTCCCGTCACCACGTTCCACTGTCAGGGTTTCAACCTGGGTCTCCCACGTTCTGGCCTTGGAGTTAGTGGATACTTTGTTCCGTACTACATCGTAATACCCTTTCCCAGGTAGTAGGTTGATAGTCATCTCCCTTTGTCGTAGACATCTGCCGGTTCATTGTTGGGTGTCCTGTTTAGTCATCGTCCCGCGTACGGGGTCATAACTTAGGACGCGGCCCTAACCAAGACCTCTTTCAAATACGGGGCACCTTTAGTGCCGAAATGGTAATGTTAACCATTTGAAATAGTCAATCATAATGAACTCTCATCCTGGAGTCTAACACAGGTGGTTTTAGGTATCCATCTTGGCCCACCGCAGAACAGTCGATCATGCCGAATCCACGACCCATCGCGTTGTTATATAGCGATGGTGCCCTCGTTGGTTGCGCAATGATAAACAGTTCTTTCTATCTTGGTACCCCGAAGGGTCCTGACTCTCGACTTAATCGACCCCAATGACTTTCCCTCTAACTAAGCCTCTCCGGGCGGCCGACCCTCCAAGACTCAGCCTTTGGTGAGTCATGGTCCCGCTGCCAGGTTGCGTCGGTCAGCGGCCCTCGCTGAGAGTTTGGTCCTGCAGTTCCAGCGATGCTAAGTATAACCCCTTAGCTTGGCCTCACAAACATGTCCCTTAGAGTGACTTCGTTGTGGTCTGATACTTTCTTTCAAAAAGCCTTCAGACAATCAAATGATCACACACCAACTGCCCACAGGACTATGTGGAGGAATAGTGCCTTCTTCAACATTCCACCAATTTCCTCAGTAAATCCAAAAGGTCGTGCCCCCCTTACTTTGATCAGAGTAGGTAAGGTCACGCGTCTTTAGGGACATCTCTCAAAATGTCTTCCAGAATTCCATCATAATTGCCAGAAGTTTCCATCCATAATTCTCACAAAAGTTTTGGCCTTTCCTCATCAGACATGCATACACACAAAAATTTCTCATCATTATAACATCTCTTTTGAGTGCTCTCACAAATTTCATTCTTTTAAGAAAGTCCAACCGACCATTGACTTTCCTCTTTCTTTTCTAAGTCTTACACAAGACACAACTTTTAGCTGTGACCTTTCCATTCACCATCACTCAATCTTTGCAAAATACATCATGTCATTTCTTTCTCAAAAACCTGAGGAGCACTCTCTCCCATTGTAGTTTGGTTTTCACTTGTCATTGGGACAAGGATGCGCAAGTACAAAGGAAGAATGTGCAGATCGGTTTATTTCACGATATTCATTTCATCACACCATCATTCATATGGGCAAGTCCACAAAACTGAGAATGAGTGTGACACACCACACAAAAAAAAAGAACAAGGTTTTAGACTCGCATATGTACAAAGGATGTGGGGTCTTGCAATACGCAAAGGCTCCTGTCCTTATCGAAAGGTCAAAGTATCGTACAAAGAGTCCAAGTATCCAACAAGGAATCACAGTATCCAACAAAGAATTAAAGTATCCAACCAAGAGTCAAGTATCCGAAATCGACCGTCACTCCACACCTCATACCACTCACACATGAATGCCACTCCACTCTGGATGAAAAACGAATCACAACTCATACAAAAGTACTATCTAAAAACACTCCACACCACACTAAAGGAAAGGAAAAGAAAAAGAATAGTCAGAATCACACTCAGTGTATCCTATGTACAACTAAACCTGAAAGTCTATAATGCGAAAGAAAACATCTCATTACTGGCTCAACTCACTGATGTACATGGGCGTGATCCAATCCTCCATGTGTCCTCCTATATACAGGCAACCATCAGTCAGTAAGTTAGAGATGTTCTGTACATACTAGACGTAGACCTTTCCGGACCCTATCAAAGAACCTTTACTCCTGATCACTCATGCTCTCCTGCAGCTGCCTATATAATTGCGCCCGAATCCCATCACGAGTCTTCAAGATCAGGTTTTCATTCCTGTCCCTTCGTACCCCAGACGAATCCCAAGTAAACAAGCCAAGCGCCTTATCCTTGAGGCTCTTGGGGCACTCCTCCTGTAGATGCTTGCCTCTCTTGCCGTAGAAGCACCTTCCAACCTTCTTCTGCTCCATCTTGTCTCCTTCTTGTGAGGGCATAGATGAGGGGGCTGCTGTAACCTTACTCGTGACCTCCTGCTGTGGAACCTCTGGAGGAGTGGGACATGCTGCTCTGTCATCTGTCTACGCCACCTGCTCACCGACTCGCCCCTCTGGCCCAGAGCCAATGGCCCAAGACCCCAATGCATCCTCCAGACCTGCAACCAGATGCATATCCTGAGGTGTGGACTCCTGACAAACCTTCAGATCCCCTCTCAGCTCAGCCTCAATCATGGTCTGACCCACACTCTCCTGAACCTCCTGTTGTCCCACAGTCTATCCCAGAGTCGTAGGTGGAACTGCTTCAATCCTCATGGCCTCAGCTGGTGGCCTCTCCTCTGGCTTCGCTGACTCCTGCCCAAGTGTCAGACCAGTCGGCATTCTCCACTCAAACTCTTACGAGTCCTTCCCTGCTAGTGCCTCCTGTGGCGCCAACATCTCTTTATCTAACAGGGGGATCTCCTCATCTTTCTGCTGGTCCGCCTTCTCTTCTTCCTTCTAGCATTTGAAGGCTTCTTCTGCAGGGTGTCTCCTGATCTCAAACCCCTGGACCTTTGTCCAGTCCACCACTGCAGTAGGAGCCTGTTGTGCATACCTGGCCTCCATGTCCTTTATCCTATTTTCCCACTCAGCTTCCTTTGCCTGAAAGGAAGTCTGTTGCACCTGCAAGTAGGCCCTCAGAACGTTATTGACCTTATTAAGGGTCTGGTTGACTTGCCTGATGGCCTCGTTCTTAGCCCAGACCTCCACTATCTCTGCCTTCATTGCCTCCACTTCCTTGCTTTGCCTTTCCAGCTCCTTCTTGAGGGTGTCAATCTCTCTCTCCCAGTCCACCCTCTGGCCATAGGCTTTCTGTGCCGCCTTCGTCAATCTTTCCCCAACCTTCTCATCTGAGGCCTTGGCTGCTGCAAAACCCTCCTTCATAAAGCCCCTTAGGCTAAGCAAGTCTGTAGAGACTAACTTAACCCCCATCTCCTGATGATGCTCTCCAGGCCTCCCTGCAGTCTCCATCAGCTTGTCAAAGTTGATCCAAACCTATGTAAGTAGGGGAGGATCCTCCTTCTGAGTGCAAACACCCTCTCCTTTCCTGTCCAACTCCACAGGTTGCTCTCCCTGTTCTCTTTCTCCCTTGCTGCTCTCTCATTCCTGTCCACCTCCTTCTCCTTGGCAGACTGTACCTCCTTGCGCTCCTGTATCTATGGCTCATTGTGCATAGGCTCAATCTCTGGCACATAATGGTCCTCATCCATCTGAGCAGGCTGAGGAGGTGCACTTGAACCACCTGATGCTCCTCCCCTCTGAGTCCTCTCAGCAGGCTGCTCCTCCCTCCTCTCATATCTATGAGGCCTATGCTCATTCCTCCCGTCCTTCCTCTGAGCCCTAGATGTCATACCATGTTCAAAGGTCCTCTTCTCAACTGCCTCTGGCTCCTTCCTTTTCTTTTTCATACTCCTTCTTTCATTTGCCTGACGTGCTGGAGTATAGTAGTTCCATAGCAACTTCTTGCAGTGGCCCCAGTTCGTAGCAGGTGCCACAATAGATCTGACAAAGGATCTGATGTGCCGCCTTACATACAGAAGGAAGCTCCCCATCCTCTGCTCCCCTGGGACATTGAGGCCATCTGCATACCGGTCATAAACCCATAGGAATTCCCCCAGATTAGTGGAGTCAAATCAAATGGGCCGTCCATCTCTTCCCACTGGAGATGGGTGCAAGCCCTCCATCCCCCTCTGCCAGGTTTGTGACTTTCTGACAAGGTTGGCAATGGGGTCTACCCACTCGCCTGCGCCTCGCACCTCCCTCAACATCCTGGTCCCATCCCATCCAAACTCTTGCGCATGTCTTTCGAACTCAATCAAAAACAACTCAATATTCTCTCCCTGGAAAAGTGGAGGCCTGTCCTCATCTGCGTCCTCTGTCTGGTCACCCCCAAAGGGGTTTCCACTGGCCCTGCCCTTCCCCTCCCTCTTGGCATGGCTGCCCAAAAGGTGTCAAGCCTGCACAACAAGGAAAAAACAACAGGAGCACACAGAGGGTAAGCAGGTCAGACAAACACAACAGGAGATAGACATAGCCCTCCCCCAACTATCTACATATATGTATATATATAAGTCTACCTCAATGCTGTAACCTATCATACCATTTTATTGAGAATAACATCCTATACAATTTACTTATACTAATATTCCTATCTGAAGTACTCAAAGGGTGACTCTAACTGGTGAGATCCATGCTCACCTCGTCTCGAGCAACACACTCCTTTAACCTTGAGCCAGACACCCAATCCTTCCAAGCCATCTCATTCAGATCCTCAATCTGATAGGCTCCATGCTCACCACTCCTTGTGACCCTGTATGGTCCCAGCCACCTCTTGTCCAACTTCCTTGACCACTGTTTTTCTAAGGATGAGTCATATAGCAGTACAATGTCTCCCACCTTGAGAGACTCTTTTCTTACTCTCGCCATCTTATCCCACCTGAACTTGTCCTTGGTACGACTGTCAGCCACTCTACTTGCCGCCTCTTCACTTCTGTCCTCTATAGCGCCAATTTTACGTGCCCTTAAATCAAGCAGTTCCTCAAATGTCAGATTTGTCTCGAGGTCCTGCCGCCTCCAAGTCTGCTTTCAATAGGGAACATTGCATGCCTGTCATACCAAAGCGTAGCGGGTGCGTAGCCGGTGCTTCTTCTGACAGTGATATTATCCACGAAGAAAGCGACTCTTAGGAAGTCTGACCACTGATTGGGCCTGCCACTAGTCCACTTGGCGAGGAGATTCGTAATGGTACTATGTCCTCACTCCACAGGTGCATTAGCTTGAGGGTGCGCAACAGTAATATACTCGACAATTACCCCATACCTCTTTAAAAGTGCTTCACTTCTGCACAGGTGAATTCAAACCCTCTATCCATCACGAATCTAGAGACAAAGGGGTAACGGAGATAATACTCTTCGATGCATCGGGCCAACATCTCACCAGTCTTTGTGCGAATGGTCCTGCCATCTACAAAACCGGAGAGATTGTCCCTCGCATCGAAGATAAAATTATATATTCATATTCCCAGCGACATTGCCAACAGATCCAGGTGCACGACTGCTCCAACCTCGCGAACATACCTTGGGTGAACCGGCTCCCTAGGTCTGAGAGAGGATCGCTCTTGGCATGGTACACAAGATTTACAATAGTCATTGATCATTCGTCCCATGTCATCCCAATAGTATAGTTCGTGTATCTTGAGATATGTCGTGTCTGTGCTCCTATGACCCCCTGCCGTACCATCATGTAGGGCAGCTATGATGTCAATCTGACGAGTGACACCACAGACTACTCTTCTGGGAGTTCTTCCTTTGCTTCTCATGAATAGATGGTCATCCCTTACTAGAAAGTTTGGCCTCATCTTCAGAGTCCTCTCACTAGCATCCCTTTCCCTCATTTCACACGAGAGAAGCATCCCGAGCTCGAGAAAAACTTCATCATATTCCTCTGCTCGAAATGCTTCCTTAATCTCTCCTTCTTCGAAATCATCATCTTCTCCTTTGTGGATCATATTATCATTTTCTTCCTGACTTTGTCCCGCATTCCTGGCCACCTCATCCTGACGCAGTGTGTTAGCTAAGAGATATATTCCACCTATTGTTTTTTCGTGCTTTTCCACCAGTCGTGCCTCATTCTTCATCGTGAGCAGGTCCTCGTGTAGCTGGAACTTGTTCGCTAGGGCCAGATCCATCATCCATTCTACACCTGGCATTCCCCACGAGTCTTCTTCGATATAAGGTTTGAGGACTAGGTCTAGCCGTCGTACATGTCCTGGAGGCGCAAGCCACACAGGTCGCCCAGGAGTAACGTAGTTACCCACGACCAGTAACCAGGAGTTGATGTAGAGTCTCACATCCTCCTCACTATCCAGAAACCCGTCGACTAGCGGAGTATCCTCGATCACTCCCCGATTATTCTTATCCCAGTCGACTCGACTCAGCCCGTCTGCTCTATTCTTATTTCCAAGAATCCGTTATAACTCGAAGTCGAACATCCAGATCTACGTTAGCCACCTGGCGATAGTTGGATCTGTAGGAGCGAAATTCTTAAGAGAACCAGCTAGAGCAGTTGGGTTCACCCTCAACACAAACCTGTGCCAAAGAGGTAGTTTCTGAAGATCCTTAAGCAGTGAAGAACTCTCAAGGTTTCGCGCTTAAACTGAGAGTAGTTCTGTGTTAAGCGTTCGATTCTCAAACCTTAGCGGCCGTTCTTCTCCATTGAGGTCTCGTTGGATCAATACACCTCCGAGGGCAGCCAGCCCTGTGTCCGTCTCTACGATAAATGGTCTGGTCATCACTGTCGTATGGTCTGGTACCCCCAGTACTAAACCCCCTTCCTCAAACTTTTTCTTTAGACCTTCTATCACTAACTCCTGCTTATCTCCCCACTCCCAATCTTAACCTTGGCGCGCAAGTTTTCGCAACTGCTCAGTCTTCACCGCAAACCCCTTTATGAAAATTTTCCAAAACCCACGCGTTCCAAGGAAGCTTCTTACCTTCGTGATAGTCTCGAATGGTGTTGGCCATTCGAGAATCTTATTAGTCTTCTTAGTGTCCGACCGATGACCTCTCTCGTCGCACACAAACCCTAAGATAGTGGCCCGCGCATGCAATGCCTTGACTTCGATCCACTGGCGGTGAGGTTATGCTCCTTCTGCAAGTCTAGGACCCTGCCTAAGTCTTGCACGTGGTTTCAGACAAAACACCTAATTCGCGGCATCACCTCCTGCTCATCCTTCTCCTTAGGCCCCTTCACGGCCAGATCATCAATATAAGGTTGCGTAATGTGAGGGCTTACCGGCTGCATTGCCCTCACCATGTGCGTCTGGACCATGGCCACCGCATTCGTCCACCTTGCGGTGCGACATTCATGTGGATTAACCTTCGAGGGGTATGCATCGCTGTCATTGGTCTATCAGAGGGGTAAACAGGAAATTGATCGTAACCCGAATATAAGTCTATGAGAGATATTATGGCTCTCCCAGCCCATGCCTCTGAAAGTGCATCAGCGTTAGGGAGACCCCCTGCATCTCTCACAGTTACAACGTTCAGGCGGTGCAAATCCTGTATCCACCTCAATGTCCCATTTGGTTTGACAAAGCAAGACCAAAGGGATGCATAAGGCCCACTTGAGTAGTCTGATACGGGTGTACAAATTTTTCCATCAAGGTATCTTACTACCTTTTCTTCATCAGCCGGATTAGGATGTCGCGCACCTCGCAAGTCATTGAAGGCATATGCAGTATGCCTTCCTCTTATGGTCCCTACTATAAGTTTCTCCTCCTGCGCTGTAAGTCAGGCTTCCCTATAATGAGTGCTTTCTTTGTCTCAGGAGTGATACGGCACGGTGTAGCGGCCGATACCCTGTTAGACTTTCGAGCCTGAGTCCACCCCTTTGCGGGTCCCATTTGGCTCGACCCGCCCACGCTCATGCTCAGGGAGCGGGTCGTTCGTCACAGGGGCACCCCCACCTAGTGCTATGAGATGGATGGGGATGGACCATTTGCGAGAGCGCTTCACATTGGGGGATGTAGCCCCGCTCTCGCGTTAGATGGTAGCTCTTTGGTCACTCGTGACGTTTTTCTCGATTCCTTTAAGTGTGGCCATGCAATTGCTCCTTCCAATACACAAGCAGTCCCGGGGGTTCCTTGAGAGGTTTTCTTCTTTCGTGCGTAGGCCAAACGTCATCCTTGGGCCACACACCTTTTCACTAAGCACAGCAGTCCTTACGGCATCATCGGGGCGCGACGACACCATCCACCCCTAACTCCTGTTTTTTTGCCTAACACGTGCATCCTACACACATATCCATCGTTTGCCCTTAGTCCTTTCAGGCGTTCATCTTGCATGCAAGAGATCGACACACACATTCATTATGCAAGGTGACCCCTTAGCGTACCCTATCCTCCCACCTAGTGGAGGAAGAAAACTCTAGTCCCTAATCAATCTCACCCCTTAGCGTACCCTATCGTCCCACCTAGTGGAGAGGGTGCAAGGTGACCGGTTATGGCGGATGGGTGAAGAAGTTGGTGGAGGAAGAAGATAGAAGGCGGTTGGCTATGGTGGACAGGCGGAGGAAGAAGGCGGAAGGTGGTCGGTTATGATGGATGGGTGAGGGAGATGGTGGAGGAAGAAGGTGGAGGAAGAAGGTGGAAGGTGGTTGGCTATGGTGGACGGGTGAACGAGATGGTGGAGGAAGAAGGTGGGAGGTGGTCGGCCATGGTGGATGGGTGAAGAAGATGGTGGAGGAAAAAGGTGAGAGGTAGTCGACTATGGTGGATGGGTGAAGGAGACGATGGAGGAAAAAGGTGCAAGGTGACCGACTATGGTGGATGGGTGAAGGAGACGGTGGAGGAAGAAGGTGCAACGTGACCGGCTATGGTGGATGGGTGAAGGAGACGGTGGAGGAAGAAGGTGCAAGGTGGTTGGCTATGGTGGATGGGAAAAGGAGATGGTGGAGGGAGAAGGTGCAATGTGGTCGGCTATGGTGGATGGGTGACAGAGATGGTGGAGGAAGAAGGTGCAAGGTGGTTGGCTCTCGTGGATGGGTGAAGGAGATGGTGGAGGAGGAAGGTGGAAGGCGGTTGGCTATGGTGGATGGGTGAAGGAGATGGTGGAAGGAGAAGGTGCAAGGTGGTTGGCTATGGTGGATGGGTAATGGAGGTGGAGGAGGAAGAAGGTGCAAGGTGGTTGGCTATTGTGGATGGGTGATGGAGGTCGAGGAGGAAGAAGGTGGAAGGTGGTTGGCTATGGTGGATGGGTGAAGGAGATGGTGGAGGAAGAAGGTGCAAGGAGGCTGGCTATGGTGGATGGGTGA